CGTTAGCAGGAAGTGACCACGTCATTTGATAAGGTCCTTGTAAAATCTCCCTTTTGTGATAATGGGAAGTTAACTCATTTGAAAAATTGTCCCCTTTCCATGACCAGATTGATCGATTTCCAGTTACAGTCAAACTGCCAAAAAATGGGAATTCTTGTTAAGACTATCAAAAGTTCCAACACACTGGGTATCATAGATTCATAATTGACTTGGTAGCTACATATTTCAGTACTAAGCAGGATATCATGTCCATCAGGTGGATCATAGTAATTGAAAATAACGCAGTTTCATAAAACAGATGCACAAAATTAATTAAAAGGCTTAGATGTGAATCTTCAAAATTTTATCTTACACTTGGTCATTGACTTCCACCTTTATGCTGTTGATGTTGACACCTGGAAGTTCTAATGTAGCTACATAACTGCGTCCAGATTCTACAACATCCATCCTTGGGGACCACTTAAATTCTGGAGGATCGAGTGAAATAAAAGAAATTTGAAACGGCATCATGTTGGTACTACAATATTAAGGGGTAAAAACAACAAAGCCCATGATAAAGACGATAATATGAAGTAATAAATTGTCAAAAAAGTTACACTTCAGCTGTTGTCTGTTTTAATCACCTGATTCCGGTGTTCGATTCCTTTCCTTACACTGAAACCGGGGCTGCTCAGAATTTCTGCTAGGTCTGGCAAATTTTGGAGCTTCGGGTCGAGGCTCAACATATCTGGGACCCTGCACTGCAGAATGAGTTTCCCTAACATTCGCAATTGGTTCCATCCGTGGTCTAGAAAACATGGGTTGCTTGGAGTTAGGACACGTGTTTGCATAGCCACTAGATTTGAGAGGCATAGTAGGTCGAGTAAAGTTGTCCTGTAGCAGGGCTAAAAGGTTAGGAACCAGGTCGTGGAAACTGTTAAGAGACAGAGATATAGCCTTCAATTAATTTATGCACCTGTTCGCATGAAGCCTGCCTCATGTGGCAAGCTTGAGAGCCAGACCCTTGCCTTGCAAAATACATTCTGTTGTCACACCTCAACATGACCCTATTCAAACTGTTACTGCAACTCTGCAGGTTGTAATTCAGGTAAATAGTTATTGTGGTAAGATACCCAAAAAAAAAAAAAAAAAAAAAAAAATTTTTTT